CAGCTGCGCCCATCCACCCCGTGTCGTAAGTTGGCTATATGGATGGGTGTGAACACCATCCACCGTGGAATCCCGTCAACCACGCGAGCCCGCACGTCAGGCAAGTCCTTTGATCGCAATCTTCTGCTTCTGCACCATGCTAACCTTTTCCACACAGCCCTACCACTGTCACGGCTCCTGCCAGCTCTGGCCCAGAACACCACACTTACCAGTTTCCACCACCTCGGGCCACAGCGACACCTTATCCTGCCTTGTCCACATCCACCGCCCCAGCTTTCTCCTCCCAACCACCAGTCCATGGTGCACGCCAAGACTCCATCTTTCCGCGCTTCGACTCCCAAAAAGAACCGCAGCCCAGCACCACTTCCTCCTCCTCCTCCTCCTCCCATCCCTCCTTTTTTCCAGCTCATCCAAGGCCAAGCGACAGTCACGTTGTGACGAGCTCACGACCCAACTCCAGTCCTACCACCATCACCTCGCCCCTTTCTGCGTCCACCCAGGCCCATGCGATCCAGAGTCATTCGCATCCCAGAGCTCCCACTTCAAGGCGTACTCAGTCTGCCTCCCACTCATCAAGTATACAGGCCCCCGCTGCTGCAGCGTTCAGTGTAGAGCAGCTTCCCGGTCCAGTCGCTGCGCCATCCCACTCCGAGTCTCGGACTATGCAAGAGCTTGCTGTGACCGAGCAACAGGGCAATACGCAAACTCGGCAGCAGCGTTTCAACGTTCGATTTGCCTCGAGCAACAACTACAGTCCAACCACCTTCGCCATGGCACCCGCCCCAAAACCTAGGTCCAGTCCTCCCGTCATGCCCGTTTGTCCGGCTTCGCCTGTAGAAACGGTCGAGTCGCCCAAATCCGTTCCGGAACAGCAGCCAGTTACGACGTCTGTGGAACAGTCGAAAATCACCAGAAACGACATTCGGAATATGACGGACCCCGCCCAAGAGTTGTCTCGTCAGTCGCGCAGAAGCCCGTCGGTCGAGCGATGCTTGGGTTGCAACGAGGCCTGGAAGCGACCTTTGCCCGATTTGCGCCGGCCCGCAGATATGGGACCGACAAAGAATGGCAATGACCTAGCTACGGGCAACATGAGCATCATAGAGCAACTGCGAGCTCACGGACGAAACGCCGAGATGGCGCATGACAAGTGGAGGGAAAGACACTACCATTGCGTGCCACGAGAGAGCCATGAACCCTCTTCCAAGACCGAACAGGACGACTCTCGCAGTACCCGGAGCTCGAATTCCAACGGCACCTCGAGAGAGGCCCGGCCTGCTCAGAATGGCTCCAGTAAACGCGTACGAGATGCCTCGTCCGAGGCTGAACAAGCGGCCAAGGTGCGGAAAGTCACATCGGAGAGGGGCTAAGGGATGGGCCTGGAAGGAAATTGCGCATCACTGGCAAACGAAGAACATATTATCACAAGTGCATTCGCATTGGAACGGTGTTGTTGTTTTTTGCAAGGGGAAAAAGGAGACTTTTGGATACCCGGTTGTTTTGTCATTGTTGTTGCCGTTGTTGCCATTGCCATCCTCCTGGCCATGAAACATTTTTCACACTTCTCTTTGCATTTCTTCTCGAGGGGGGATTTAGGATAGCCTTGGATGGGCAAAATTTTGGCGTTTATATTCATGCGGGGGGAGTCTGTACCACGGGAGACTTACCCCCGGCGGCGTTGTTGGGCTTCGCTTGGTTTTTTCGCTTGCATCTTTTGGCGGCAGCTGCTTCTCCCTCTACCTTTTGTGTGGTCTTTCTCCTCGACCACGACGACGCCTGTGTATGAGACTATGTATTTGCTCACCTTTGATGTCGCATCTTGACCGACCCTGGGCACAAATGTTTACAGATTTGGGCTCTGAACCGTGTATATACCATCCACCTCGTCACATCTACCACTCTTGTCCCCGTTCTCCACGCGCTTGACCGGATGCTCTCTGCCATTGCCTATTTTCCCTCGCGAACCCAAGCCGTGACAAAGGACCAAGTGGGTGGACCCCATCAGCCTTGCAAATCACCAAAACAATACAACCTCGACGAGCAGCCAGACACACCACCACCGCCCGAACCTGATGGACGGTTTACCCGTTGGCAGTGCCCACATGGCCCCAGGTACAGACTGGACAGGACCGATTCGGACTTTGAGCAGACAAGGGCACAACACATACACACTTGGGCACCTTGAACCCCCGAAACCATCCAACCCACACACGCACGCAAACGTCAGCGTCAAAGCGGTTCGGTACGAAACTCTGGTCCATGGGGCAAGGACTTGAAAACAAACTTTGGCTAACACACACACCCTCTCATCCCCGTCTGTCCGTGACTCGGGCAAGTGGCAAGATGGGAGGGACGGCAAATGCCGACGGCTTGGGGGGGTGGGTGGTATGGGTTTGATGGCTTGTTGGTTCTGCAGATGTATGGTGTTGGATTGTCTACTCTGCGACATCAATGGCGTACATACGGTGCGAGGGTCAGTCTACTAGGCCACGAAGGTGGAGAGAGGCGGTTGTCCAACGGCACACACGGCCCAGAGCGTTTTGCTCAGTCTCTCAGTCTCTCAGTCTCTCAGTCTCCTCTCGGTGTCTGTCTTTGCCTCGAGAACGCCATGCGATCACTCGCATCTAGCAAGCGAGCTTGTCTTGCGTCGCTGCTGTCCAACCATCTCGTTCCAGTCTAGTCGCGACACGGCCGACGATTGGCTGTGCGGGGGTCCCTCGGAACGCCAGACGCTGTCGGGTAAGGCGGGGGCCTTCTGGCGAATCAACGACGCACGCGCCAGTTTCCTCTTCCGGTTAAGGCGTTCATTGCGGGGCGGGAAGGGGGGGGAGGGAGACGGAGACGGAGACTCGATCCATGTGACGGAGGGCCGGATCACGTGGCTGTGAGGTCTGCCGGGGGCTTCCTGTCTTGCCACGGGTTTGCTGAGCTTTGTTGTGCGGCACATGGATGCTCCCAACCAGGTGGGCGAGGCGAGCGGGCGGCGGGTTGCACAAACAGCAAGCCCCAGATGGTGGGAGCGAGGACAAGGCACGTGTTTTGCTTCGCTGTTATGGATGCGACAAGCCCATGGACGCGGCCCTTCTCCAAGAGGCATCGCGGCATGGAGATCAATATTCATCAGGCTTCCCATGCCATCTCTTTTTTCCATCCCGACCGTCCTTGACGCGCAGCAAAGGGCCGAGCAAAGGGACAACGCATCCGAATGACATCATCGTTCCTTGTGGGTCACATCAGTCTCCCGTTATGCCCTGGGACTGGGGCAACGAACTCCCTTCCAGAAGTTCGCGCTCTTGTCTCTTGTGCTCTCTCTCTCTCTTTCTCTCACGCGATCTGTCGCTGATCCGTCAGACCACTGCTGATCCACCCTCTCTGTCCCCAGCCAGCGTCTCTCTCGTCCCTTTTGCCACCCCAACCCACTCACCCACAGCCCACCGGGGATCCGACACGGTGGTTTCGCCTGACGTCATCGTGTCGGAACATCCCAAGCAGTGAGGCGAAGGAAGGTGTGATATGAATAGGTCTATTGCCGATCGACAGAGCGAGGACCAAGTTTGGGGGAAGAAGGGCAAAGCAGACAGGCCTCTGTGCACTGGCTGGGGACCATCAAAGTCTCTCTCTCTCTCTCGGTGGCACCGACCCTTTTTTTTTTTTGTCATTTTGCTCGATCGTCGTGGACGGGATGAGGGTGCCAGGTTGGTCAAGGGAGCCAATCCTGTTGGATTCGCAATCGCGCTAGACCCAACGGTGCGAGGTGGGCAGATCGCTGGTAGGTATTCGGTCCGTTGGCGTCCGAGGGCTGTCGGTCTGCTGCAGATCGGATGCCGATTCCCCCCGTCCAAGTGCCGCACCGGCGTACTCTACTGTACAAGGTCCTGTTTGATGAACCGTTGAAGAGCAGGCAGGCCAGGCAGGCCACACACGAGGCTCGGATAGGGTTATCCAGAGGTGTCGCCAAAAAGTGATCGGCCATTTGCCCCATGAGGGAAGGAGGGAAGCGGCGGCTCGGTCATGAGCTTTCTTGCTACCGGTGCATCCCACCCCTACTCTTCTCCATCGACAGGCCGTTGGAGGGAAATTAGGCAAAAGGCATCGCATCGCATCGCATCGCATCCTTAAGCGCATTTGCCCTGACAGCCGCGTCGACGGCCGTGTGACACAGCAGTAGTACTCGGCCATCCATCTCACGTGCAGGAGCGTGGGAAATTGCGATGCACTCCTGGGATCCCAGCCCTGGTTGCACCCGGACAGGCGTTTGGACATGGCTGTTCCATGCCCTGCCTCTTGTCTGCCTGCCTTGTTTGTACCACTTTCATCTCGAGTCCGCTTCCCCATCTTGGCGATTCATCATCGCTGCGGGAACGCACAGACGACAGCCGTCCGCCACCTTGGGGCCTGCTCTGCCTTCCCTTCGCCCTCTTCTTTCCCCTACCCTCCCCCCAATCCTTTGTGTTGTTGTTTTTTGCGCCTTTCTTTCTTTCTTTCTTTCTTTCTTTCTTTCTTTCTTTCTTTCTTTCTTTCTTTCTTTCTTTCTTTCTTACCCGCGACTCGTAAGCAGCACCAACCACCAACTACCCCCCCACATGCGACCCGTTAGCCGTCTGGCGTGATGACAATGCCTGGGTTCGTGCTCTTGCCCCCCGCCGCACGCGGTCCATGAATCAGGCCCCACGCAATCACCGGTGGGGAAGGATGGCCCCTTGCCACTGCACGCCACGACTGTTGTCATCCTCTGGCCAGGGACTACTGTTGTACTCACTCTACCGTGTTGTAGGAAGAGGTACTACAGTAGGTACAAGTACGGGTGCACACAGTTGGTACTGCCCCATCTCATTGGCCCTACCAGCCACAATCCCCGCCGTCTTCCCTGGCTAAACGCAAGCACATCGCCCTCTGCCCTTTGGCGGGTGCGACAGCCTGATGCTGACTCGGCATCTTTCTTTTTGCTGTTGCTGTCATGCAATCGTAGAGTACAAGATTCCATTCATCTAAATGCATCCCCCGCCGCGGACAACATCTGACTCGACTCCGCCATACACATATATGACATAATATATAGTATATAATAGCACAACACGCACAAGACCTCCTATACCCTCACAATCTCCCCGAACTCCCCTGGTCTTTTTTTTTGGCCTATTCTGCCGCCAACATGCACAACAAATCACGTGCCCGAGCATTCAACCCAGCCACTCCCCCCCCCCCCCAACCTGGGCCGCCCGCAACCCCCAATGAGTACCAAAAAAACCCCCACCCACAAATTTTTTGAAAATGTGTTTTTTTGAACATACCACGGCAAGCCCAAGAACCCCCACGCCAAAAAAAAAAAAAAAAAAAAAAAAAAAAAAAAAAAAAAAAAGAGCCCAAACTGTGGGGGGCCCCGGGGCCCCCCTGAGCCCCCCGAAATAAAACAAGGGTCGGGAGGCACAATGGGATGGGGATGGGGATGGGCGGAAGAGGCACGATCCGAGCTGGGCTGGGGGAACAAGGCCGTTCCTTGATCAATCGAACAGAAACCGTTCTGCGGGTGTCGAGGGCTCGGGACGTGCCTGCTTGCCTGCCTGCCTGCCTGCCTTGTCTTGCCCTGCCTGCCTTGTCTTGCCCTGCCTGCCTTGTCTTGCCCTGCCTGCCTTGTCTTGCCCTGCCTTGTGTCGTCTTGCACCCTGCCTTGTCCTTTTCCTGCCCTGCCCTGCCCTGCCCTGCCCTGCCCTGCCCTGCCAGCTTACCTGAATCGCACTCTTTCCATGATTACTATTCTACTCTTTGGCAGACTGCGGGAGCTGAACAGTTGGTCTTTGCGATGAGACTTTGGAACCTGTGCTGACGTGTGGGATGGAAAAATCTCCTTTTCTTCTTCCCTCTTTTTATACTTTGGACCGCGTGTGGTGACCGTTGTGCTGACGGCCGTCACGCCCCAACCGTGTGCACGACACAGACACGGCACGCGAAAATGCACCCAGTCTAACTGTTTGTACACCGTCTCGTCCACCTTCGGCTGCTTTCTCCAACAGGCACCTTTTCCACTCATCGCCAGGAAGGCGGGCCGTCTTACTATACGGGGGGTGGTGGGGAGAAACGTTCGTGGGCCATGCGCCCACCGGACTGTTGTTATATGTACAGTACTAGTATGCATGTACACACGGTACCTACAGTGAATCGATGATATTGTATTCTTCTCTCCTTTGCATCCCATCATTTCGGTGCTCGGCCGAATTCACAAATGTACCCGGTACACGAACTCGATACAATCTACAACTCGCACATCCCTCCGCAGATACGGATTGGATGATGCCCGCTTTGGCCGCGAAAGCTGCGAGAGAGCGAGAATCCGTAAACCAACCCCCGCCCCCCCTGTCAAACCCCTTTTGTTTGTGCACCACCACACTGGGCACATGTGCGTCCGTAAGCCTTTGTACCCTGATCTCGCGTGCGTGTCGAACCACCACCTGCCACTTACCACGACCACGCCCCTCCTCCTTCTTCCCATCCTCATCCGCCATCTCACCAGACGGAAATGCTCGGCTGCACGCATCCGTCTTACGATGGCTGAGGCGCTGCATACTCGTCGCCTCGCCTGTCTGACAGGTAGCTCCACCGGTACAGCGTACCTACCACAGCACAGCCATCCACTCTCCCCTCTCACCCTGCCCACCATCCGACACTCCAGCCACGCCGAATCCGGCACCCATGGGATTCCTCATCGGCATAGATGCCCTACATGCGATGCCTTCTCCCTCCTCCCCAACCCTCCCACCTCGATCTAGACCATGGCCTGTACAACTGTCTCACCCCGTCTGCCGGCCCCCCCTAATGCGGAAGTCGTGGGGATTTTCATCCAGCTCGGGCTCAATCTCGTTCTTGGGCGGTTTTTTTGGTCGATCGTTTGTGTGAGGGATGGGGTGCGCGGAGGATCTAGAACTGCAAGGTAGGTGGTATGGCATGGGCGCCTGGATCAATCTTCGAGTCTGGGTGTCTGTTGTGTCTGCTGTGTCTGTTGTGAAACCGCAAACGGATACTGGGTATCCTGCACACGATTGGCAAGACTGCCGCGTCTGGACGCCCGGGCTCCCGAGTTTTCGGCCTCGTTCAGAATAGGTCACTAGACTCTCTCTCTCTCTCTCTCTCTCTCTCACATACAATACATGCACTCGACTCATCCCCATTTCCATTTCCCAAACCCGCACCACGGCCCCCCACCCAATCCAATCCCAATCCCCTCAGCCCTACACCTCCATCCCTGCAAAATCAAGCGGAAAGGGTAAAGTAAAGAAAGGAAATACACATGGATTCCCCCTTTTGTCTAGGTTGATTTGGAGTTTTAAATCTCATGTAGGTTGCTTCGCATGTGTCACGA